AATCAATCCTTTATCCATGTTGTCCAAATAATTGATTATTGAATGTAAGAGAGTAGTCTCTGTTGAATGATTTGGACGAAAACCGGGTTGATTTTCGGCGATAACTTTGTTTTCATTCAGAAAGGTAGCTAATTAATTGGCTATAGATAACTTTTTCGAAGACTTGAGCGATATTTGATATAATAGAAATTGGTCTATAATTACCGCAGTCTGTCTTACTTTCGGATTTATAGATTGGCGTATAACACGAGCAATTTTCCAATCATCTGGGAATATTCCAGTATTTAAAGACAAATTGAATATATTTTTCAAGGACTTCAAAATAGTTTTCCCTGCTGCTTGTATGAGTTTGACCGAGATTATGTCAATTCCTGCGGATTTGCAGGTTTTCATATACTGGAAATAATGCGGTTTAAATCCTCTTCTGATATTGTTTTGAATGTAAATGAATTTGACACTGGATTCACATAATGTAAAGGGTCAATATCGTTATCAGGAATTTCTTCTGCTAATTTTTTGCCTACTTCAGAGAAATATTTATTGAATTCCTTTGCAATTTCTTCATCGCCTACTATTGTTTTGCCGTTCATATTAATCTCGTTGATCGCTGTTGTTTTAGATTTCCGATTTAATAATTCATTAATTGTTTGCCAACTCTCTTTACAGTTTGTACTGTTGGCTAGTTTACAGTTATAATAAAGTCTCTTTGTTTCCTTGATGCATTTGTTTAGTTGATTTTTGCATTGTTTATAGGCCTGGAAATAGTAAGGTGAATTCAGACTAACCGCTTTCTTTTTTAAGTAATCTCTGTGATAACTCTGTTTCTTAATCTCATTAGTCATCCATCGGCAATATTCACTTTTAACCCTTCTTTGCCTAAGTGGGGCATATTTATTTGCGATTTCTAAAAAGATTTCTTTCCAAATTTCCCACGCCTTGTTTGGGTCATTAAAAGTCGAGAAAGAGCTGAATGCTTCACTTAAATCACTCTGAAACAGCAAAGCGTTGAAGTGTTTAAATTGTCTAGTCTCTATTAATTTGGGGGTTTCTTTTTGATTGGCAACTTTACGGCAGATATAAACAAGACTGTGCACGATCACTAATCTTCTCAGAGAGCTCTCGCTGACACGTCCTGTCGCCATTGTCGCTAACAATCGATCCCTCAGGTTAACTCAGCATTCGAAGAATACAACTTTCGCCAAGCAAAACAACAACACGGAGAAAATATCGATGCATTCCATACACGGCTTAGACAACTCGTCCAAACCTGTGAGTTCGTCGGATGTTTGTCACAGCGATTACGACGACAAGCTCTGCGTGACAACCCAAATCTTAAAGATCTGCTAACCTATGCCAGAGCACAAGAGCGAAGCGAAGCACAAGCCACAGCCGTAGAAATAGGCGTGTCATCCATAAACGCTGTCAAAAACGAGCCACAAAAAAAAGGGACACAAAAATCAGCAAAACTCACGGAAAACATCAGCAAAATCACGGAAAACATCAACAACCGAGATTCAAGCACTCTAGCAACACATCTAAACGTTGCAAGTCTATATAAGCATGTCCATCTAAAGCTTGGCCATCTAAACGTTGCAAGTCTATATAAGCATGTTGATGAAATAAGAATTTTTATGAACGATAAAATTTTTGACATATTAAGTATCAATGAAACTAGACTTGTCGGCACCATTGACAACAACGAAGCTAATATCACAGGTTAGGATCTCATTCGGAAAGACCGAAATCGAAATGGTGGGGGTGTCGCAATTTATATACGAAATGTTATTCCCTACACTATTTGCAATCACTTACTTTCAAGTACAGTAGAAGCTATTTGTATTGAAATTAACAAGCCTAACAGCAAACCTCTACTGATCTCAACATGGTATCGTCCTCCCGATGCCAAGATAGAATTATTTGTCCATTTTGAAAATTTTTTACAGAACATTGATGAAGAGGACAAAGATTTTGTTATAACTGGTGATTTTAATTGCAATTTTCTATCAACTGAAAATAATAACCGACATACAAACAAATTGATTGAGTTAATTAATGAATACCAACTACAACAGCTAATCACTAGCCCGACAAGAATTACTCCTAGAACTAAAACTCTATTAGACATTATTATCACAAAAATAGGCGACACAAAAATCATTGAATCAGGGGTCATTCACCTCGGAATTAGCGACCACAGCCTGGTTTATGCATGCAGAAAGGTTAGTATTCCAAAAGCAAAACCTAAAGTAGTAGAAACAAGACAATTCAAGCACTTTAACATTAACAATTTCCAGCAAGACCTTAACCAAGCACTTAACTCAATTTTGTTTTACAATTGCACTGATGCAAATACAGCCTGGTACACATGGAAGAAAATATTTTTGGAAATTGCTGACATTCATGCCCCATTACTAAAAAGAAAGGTAAAAAGTGAATATAACCCTTGGATGACAAACGAAATTAAGAATATGAGCTATCATAGAGATTTTCTAAAGAGAAAAGCAATTAAACATAATTCGACAAGATATCATGAACTATACAAGAATTGCAGAAATCGTGTTAACAATCTTATTAAAGATACTAAAGCTATATACTTTAAGAACAAGCTAGAAAGTACTACGAACAGTAAGGAAGGATGGAGAACAATCAATTTACTATTGAACAAAAAATCTAAGTCCACATTAATTAACGAATTAAAAGTTGGGGATAGTATAGTTACTGGTGACAAAAATATTGCAACAGCATTCAACAATTATTTTTCTACAATTGGTGAAAAATTGAGTGAGAATTTATCTTGCAACAATACCGACCCTCTTAACTACGTGACACCAGTGACTGAGGTATTCGAGCTAAATAATATAACAATGGATTAATTAAGATGCGAGATATTCAAAGCAAAAGCTGGGAAATCAACAGGTTTGGATAAAATTTCAAATAAACTATTAAAATCAGCCGGGGAGACCATTATCGGCTCCTTAAGTTTCACCAGATAGTATCCACAAATCAATCTGGATTTCGCACTCAACACTCCACAGAGACTGCACTCTTATATTCTGTAAATCAATGTCTTGTAAATATGGACCAGGGCCTTATTAATGGTCTACTGTTTCTTGATCTCAAAAAAGCATTTGACACTGTGGACCACAACATACTCATTTCAAAATTAGAGCTTTACGGAGTACGAGGAAAAGCATTACAATGGTTTATTTCATATCTGAGAGGGAGAAAGCAAGTTTGCAAAATTAATCACGAAATATCAGATAGAGCTACAATTACTTGCGGAGTCCCTCAGGGTTCAAATCTAGGACCACTGCTTTTCTTACTTTACATCAATGACTTACCAAATTGCTTAAGGTCTACAAAAGCATCAATGTTTGCAGATGACACTAATATATCTTGTGACGAAAAATTAGCAACTGACATTCAACAAAAAATTAACTCAGACTTGAACAGTGTTCATAATTGGCTATTAGCTAACAAACTAACTTTAAGTGCTGAGAAAACAGAATATATGGTTGTTGGTTCGAGACAAAGGCTTAATCAAATAAATTCAGATCCTGACATATTAATAGGAGATCATATGATAAAGAGAGTTTCTAACAAAAAAATTCCTAGGAGTGGTTCTTGACGAACAACTTAATTGGCATAACCATATAGATAATCAATGTGCAAAAATTTCAAAAAACATTGCACTTTTGAGAAGAGCAAAAAGTTTTCTGACAGAAAATGCCCTTATTACAATGTACAATTCACTAGTCCTACCACATTACACTTACTGCTCAACAGTTTGGCACAACGGAAATATCACTCACATTTACAAATTAAGTAAATTACAAAAAAGAGCAGCACGTGTTATCACTAACTCAGGGTATGACATAAGATCAACAGAGATCTTAAATAGATTGAATTGGGAGCCCATTGCAAATATCCTCGAACAACGTGAACAAACAATGACATTTAAGGCAATTAACAAAATGACACCAAAATATTTAACAGAAATGTTTACTATGTCCCAGAACGACAATTATGCATTGAGAAGTAACGAACGAAAACTTCACTTATCAAAACCAAACACTAACTTCCTTAAGAAAAGTTTTTCCTACCGCGCAGCAGTGTTATGGAATGAACTTCCAAACGAAATTCTCGAGGAACATGAGCATCTTTCATTGAATCAGTTCAAAAGGCTTATTAAAAATTGCTAAGATAGCGAAATTTTCCCGAAATTTTATCGAATGTTTACTTGCATTGTAAGGTCGTTATGCATGTTATACTTCAATTTGAATTAATGTTAGTGTGTTATACTTTAGGTTTAGATTTAGTTTTATATCTTTTTAATAGTTTTAGACCACGGCCCTTTGAAAAACAGGCAACTGAAAGGTTAGCGTGGATAAATATGTTTAAATAATAATAATAATAATGAAATCACAAAACAACCCGATCCTCAACACAGCAATGTCGCAACTGTGGCAGAATTTTTCCACATACCGGTGACTGTCCCGCAAAACTTAAAGAATGCAGAGCATGTGGAAAAACTGGCCACTTTGCCAAGGTTTGTAGATCCAAACCCAAACGACAAGAAATCCGTCAGGTCGTTCAAACCTCTACAAAGGAGGAACCCCACTATATATTCACCGTCCAACTACCTTTGCAACAACATAATTCCAAAAGCTATGACCTTATCAGAATTCAAGAAAGAAACGAAGAACGATTCCACACTCCAAAACCTATCACAAGCAGTCAAACCAATCACTGGTCTGACCCAGAAATCCAGCTGTACACAAACGTTAAGGATGAACTTTCCGTTTGCGATGGTTTAATCATCCGAGGAACACGTCTGGTCCTTCCAAAATCACTTCACCATCAAGCTATTGAATTGGCACACACAGGTCATCAAGGAATAGTAAAGACCAAGCGGTTATTACGTGAAAAGGTTTGGTTTCTGTTGATTGACAGGATGGTTCAAGGGAGAATCAAACACTGCATCCCATGTCAAGCAGCGACACAAGATACCATGCCAAAACCAGAAGCCATTGAATATGACCCCACTTAGGCCACTACCCAAAGCGCCGTGGAATGAAATCGCTATTGACTTCGTTGGTCCATTCCCCTCGGGAAGTTTTACTTGTGGTCAATGACGAATTCAGCAGATTTCCAGAGGTCGAAATACTCCACTCCACAACTGCATGCCAACACCGTTATCCCCAAACTCGATTGTATCCCCAAAGTCGTCAAATTGGGCAATGCCCATAGCAACGAATTTGCAAACTTTGGAAGTTTTCTTGGATTCGAGCATCGAAAAGTTACGCCTTATTGGCCCCAAGCGAACGGCGAGGTCGAACGCTTCATGCGAACACTCGAAAAAGCAATCCGTACAGCCCATCTGGAAAAAAAAGAATTGGAAACAAAAAGTGAACGCATTCCTACGTCATGCAGTACCGTGCAACTCCACACAGCACTACTGATGTGTCACCCTCTGAAGCTCTAAACGGTCGCAAAATACAAACGCTTCTGCCCCAACTCACTAAAGTCAACCAATCTGACATCTACAATTCCATCTATGAGAAAGACAGTGAAAAGAAGAGAAAGATGAAGAAATACGCCGACCAGCGACGGCGGTCTGAAACTACTGTAGTGAAATAAAAGTAGGAGACGTAGTCCTAATCAGACAACCGAAAACAAACAAGTTGTCACCCCTTTTAATCCACATCCCTACAAGGTCGTAGCAAGAAAAGGAAGTATGGTCACCGCTGAACATGGTTCCCACAAAGTTGCACGCAATGTTTCGTTTTTCAAAAAGATTGAAACGACTCCAGCCACAGAAAATGAAACGGACGACGAAGTCGACGACCCAATCCCAAGTGCCCAACATCACCAGGAACAAACTGTTGTACCCCCACTACCGAGAAGATCCCAGCGGCAAAGACAACCCCCCAACAGATTAACTTATGAATAAACGGACATGTTATTTAACAGATTAACTTATAAATAAACGGACACGTTATTTAATCTGAACCTTGCAATAACGTTCATATTTTGAAATTTGAAGTTTTGTTTAAAACAATCGGACTCGTATAAAGTAAAAAAAGTCATAGTTCATAGACCGATAAATATCTAGAACATTAGAAGAAAGACTCTATCTTAATGTGGGGAGAGATGTAGTATCCACCCCTTATTAATATACAACTAACCACAGTAATAAGTTAATTAGTAATGCACTAGCTCGTAATGATGTTTACTTGCACTTTGTAATTGATTATTAATTCTTAAACCACCGAGGCAGACTGTTGTTTTTATATGTTGTTCTATGGAATATTCCGTGTCTTGGCGCGATAGACTACACCAACAAACAAATTAGTATGATTGGGACCCATTTTGCTTCCCATGGCTACACCACTTATCTGTTGATAATGCTCACCATCAAAGGAAAAATTGTTGAGGGTGAGCAGTGGGCGGTTCCTGATTAGGGCGCTTACAGTATCTAGAAATAATTTGAGGGCCCTTAAAGCATCATGATGCAGAATTACAGTGTATAAGGATTTTACATCCATGGTGAAGATGAATTTGTGAGTGCCATGAAAATGAATGTTCTGAATGATTTGGATATAGCATGTTTGGTATCCTTGATATAGGAAGTCCTTAACGGAAGCTGGTCAACTCGGCCCACTGCCCAACTCGGGCCATACCGTTTTTGGCAGTCTCAGGGAGATCACCGGCGATAAAGCTATGAACGGTCTTAGAAATGGTGGTTTGATGATCGAGTGGAAGTCAAATCCTTGTCAACCCTGCTGTAAAAAGTGGTGTCACCAAATTGTCGGTGAGCTTCATTACGATATAAATCAGCCCTCCTAACTACCAAGGCATCCCCTTTATCAGCAGGTTTGATAACAATGTGATCCCCAGCACGAAGTGATCGAAGTGCACTAAATTCAGTGTCAGTCAGATTGGGTGGCCTTTTGGGCCTAAACATGGGCCCGAGCTGTTCTATATCATGTCGACATTGTCGAATGAATAGTTCAAATGACCCATATTGGTCTTCTGAAGGAGACCAGGAAATTTTTTTAGGGATTATAGTCTCAAAAACGTCCTTGTGAGGGACGGAGGATTGATTGGTGAAAATGTGCTTTCAGACGCAGTCGTCCCAGATATGGAAATTAGAGCCCTCTGTCCCATTTCTGATAGCAACGATAGCCGCAAAAGACACAAAATGCATCTCAATTCTAAACTTGGCACTGTCTGACTGTCCACCCCTATGGCGTTAATGAACGTTTTCCTTAACTCTATCTGTATTTGCCTGTCTAAAACAGACATTGACAGTACTTTTAATTCTTACCTTGTTCCATACTTGTTTTATATATTTTGTTGTATTTGCTATGTTTTCTGTTAAGAATTGTATTAAAATAAATATATGATTTACATTTTTTGTTTATATATACTTTGTTTTGACTAAATCCATCTGATTGGTTTATTTTATGTCAGGTGATCACTTTTATATTCTTAGTATAAAAGCTCAGACATGTAATTTTCCCGATCCCCGCTATAGTAACTCCAGACAAAGGGCCTTCCCTCGAGACGTCGAAATTCTCCTAATATATAATTTTCAGGTAGTTGCATCCCTAACCGGCAACGAAAGCTTGCTTATTCCAACATGGCTACCGAACAAATTTTATGTTATAAATTAGCCATTATGCATTTTTGTCTATATGATCTATAGTAAACTAAGTAAAGTACGATTGTCACCGGCTAAAATTGGTAAAGTACACTTTCTTCCCTTTAAGACCTTTTACCGGTTTTACCTTCCATTCTTTTCTGCTAACCTCAAACATTTTCTGGGACCATTGTCCCGTGGCCTGCTATATGTTTCAGGCCTGTTAATAATGACTAATATATATTAAGTGAGAAATATCTTACCCAGGTCATCAACTGTCTTTCCAGGAGGTGTTAAAAGACGCTTGCTTAATTGATAGCCACCAAAGAAGAAGAAATATCCACCAACTTCTCTTGTACATGTACTCACAAAACCACGATATAATCCCAAAGGTCCTTCGTTTCTGACAATTTGGGCTGTTAATGCAAGAGCACCGCTATATAGTACGAAGAATTTGTGCTTAGTATATACAACCAGAAAATAACGGTCGGATATCAAACATTTTCCGACCAAATTACAGTTTTCCAACCAAATGCTCAATTATTCAGACATTTTGTCCAGATAGAGCAATAGCTGTCAGTTAATCAGTTTTCTTGAAAGCTAAGAATGGTTAATCAAAGACTATTGTCAAATTTAAAAGTATTCTAACTACACTGTATAGTGTTTGGCAAAAAGTATTATTTATTGACGTGATTTAATCAATGCCAAATCGCAAATAGACGCCAGGAGTCAAAATGACTTTGAGAAATACAGTATGCGACAAAATTTGAAAGTTTCTGATCACATTTTATTTTCATCAGACAATTTTGTTGTTATATTTCAGGGTCTGATAAACATTATACACAGTATAGGGTGAGATATGCTTTAAGGCTATATTTTTTGTTCCATGACTATTTTGTAGGCATGTACGGTATATACGCACAAAATCAGATTAAGTTAACCAAAATCATTTCTCCAACATTTTTTGCTTCAGCAAAGATTAAATCTGCTTTGGGCATGCAAGGAATAAAGTAAAGGATATTTGATATATTATATAGTGACCTCTTACTTAAATATCGGGACTTTGGGTAACGGTTCTATAATTATTATGATTGAAGTGAACATAATTATGCGCTACCTATCTGTGCTCGAGAGATGTGCATTTTACCATTGGTGATATACAACAACAGTACATCTACATGCAAAGACACTTAAACATTTAAAACATGCATGCAAGAATCTGTAAAACTTTTGTTTTTAATTCTCATATGCTATTCCTACGAATCTATGTGTACGGAAGCCGTGAAGGGACTTCAGACTTCAGACTTCAAACATTTTTTTTAAATTTTTTTTACAAATTTGCCATTATTAAAGATATAAACTAACTATAAATTACACACAATGGCTGGAATGACCACACAGAGATAAAATCTCCAATAACGGGGTTCCACAACATACATAACCATAACAATATATAATTTACACTATGGCGTGACAGATATTAGACATACTAATAAACAGATAAACAAATTAACAGGCCACAAATTGAAACAAACAACGATAAGACAACGACATGAGATCCTATTTGAAATTCTGAACTCGTGAATGAAGTACTAGAGTAATTTGAAGCTGTTAAGATTGTTTATGTATCGAGCAAGCTATATTAAAATTTAATGACTGCTTTCCCTATCACGCACACCGTCCACAACCGCCAAAATGCTATACTCGTAGTCTCGTACATGGAGTTGAACCATAAGATAAAGTAATATTCATTATAGCATTATGGTAAGTGCATTTGGCACACGCAATAAGGGATCACTATATAAGGTTCGATTGACCTAACAACATGGTCTAGATAATAAGTTCCATAAAGGACGACTTGTGTCAGTTGTGTGACATTTCACACAAACTAACTTAAGAGTTCTCGGGTCATAGGGGTTGAAAACACTGTCCGTTAGATCTTTATAGTGCTTGCGTAGTAATGTTTTGAATGATCCTATAGACTTAGTTGTGTCTCTAATATAACGAGGAAGAGTGTTCCACACGCTCGCGGCTCTTATATAAAAACTGTTCTGGTAGTTGACAGTTCTGCACTTTCCCACATTTAGGAAAGTTCCATTACTTGCTCTTCTTGTTTCTCGTGTTGAAACTTTGACCGAGATATTGCTGTCAGAGTCATTTATGAGACTTTTAAAGATATAAATTATGTCTAAATATTCATGCCAGTAACATAGAGGGATGATGCCAAGGACCTGCAATCTTTCTTTATACGAGATATCTGTTTGGCATGGCAGAGATAGGATGAACTTGGTGGCACGCCGCTGAACACGTTCGATGGTTAGAATGTTGCTGACCGTCTGGGGTGCCCATACTTGACAACCGTACGCCAGTTGACTGCGAACCAAAGTCAGGTAGAGTGCCTTGTGGACCGATAGGTTACCAATCATGTATGTTGTTCGCTTCACGAAACCCAGCATCTTGTTGGCCTTCGACGAAATCTCCTGCACTTGCTTGTTCCATTTGAGGTCACCAGTTATAGATATGCCAACATCTTTCTGACTGTTAGGTCGGATAACTGGGGTACCAAGCACCGTATACTGTGTGATGGTTGGTTCACGAGATCTTGTAAGATGTAGCACTCCACACTTACTTTCATTTAACTCCATTTTCCAGTCGTGACACCAGTTGGTAATGTTGTCCAGGTCGCATTGAAGGGTTACCTTATCTTGGGAATTTTTAATAGGACGGTGGCATTTGGTATCGTCAGCAAACATTGCCATGGTAGTATCGTCTGAGACACATTTCGGGAGATCATTGATGTAAATTATGAATAGAAGTGGCCCAAGAATTGATCCCTGGGGAACACCTGATAGAACTGGAAGTGGTTTTGATGTAACGCCAAGCGCAGTGACTCTCTGGAATCGCCCAGAAACGAAGTCTCTGAACCAACGAAGAAGATTTCCTCTTATACCGAAGTTGTGAAGCTTCACCAGTAATAGATCGTGATTTACTTTATCAAAAGCTTTGGCAAAGTCCAGGTAGACAATGTCAACTTGGTTTTTTTGCTCAAGAACGTTAAGAACTTGATGGAGAATGTGTAGCAGCTGTGATGTTGTAGATCTGCCCCTGAGAAAACCGTACACTGCAGTTCGTAAATTTGACCGTATACGTGTTCTATAAGTCTATTATATATACAGCGTTCAAACACTTTCGAAACTAATGACAACAGTGATATTGGTCTGTAGTTGGTTACGTCGTGAATAGGGTTTCTTTTTCGAATTGGACTGATGTTGGCCAGCTTCCATTCGGATGGCAGAATTCCATAAGATAAGCTCTTGTTGAACAGCTGGCATAGAGATGAACTGATGTTAACTGCACAGTTCTTCAGCAGTAACGCTGGGATTTTGTCGGGGCCGGTGGCTTTGGCTGCATCCAGTGCTTTGAGTACAACACATACTTCCTCTTCTGTTAACGAGATGTCTGCGATGGTGGTAAGATCAGTCGTGTCCTTATCAGGAGCAACAGAAGGGGAATGGTCGTCAGTAGCATCGGAATGCTTGAACACCGAGTAGAAGCAACGGTTTAACAGGTCGACAATGTCGGCAGGGTTTTCAGCTGTGGAGGAAGTTGAATCTTGTTGGGTCCACGACATTTTACTGGGAATGTTAGAATGTTTCGAGGTAGATTTGAAGACAGACCAGAACTTTTTACTGCTCGAATTTAGCAAAGATGGAAGTTTGTGGAAGTACTCTCTTCGCTTGGTTCTTACTAATGTCTTGACCGCACGTCGAAGATCACGGAATTTTTCCCAGAGATTAGCAGATGAGGAAAGTTTCGCCTTTTTCCTACACGAGTCTTTCTTTGAGAGAAGACGCCTGACTTCACCGTCAATCCATGGAGGAGAGCTACGCCGTTTGAAGGTTTTGAGCGGAATATAATCAGTCGCGGCACCAAGGAAGAGGTCTTTCCATTGCTTCCAATCATTGTTGATATCGCTCGACTCGTTGGGTGATAAATTGATGTGATTAAGGGCGTGATATAGGCCGTTCCAGTCTGCGTGGTGGAAATCAAAAACAGTTCTCTTGTCAAAACCTGTTGATTTAATATGAAGTAAGATGTCAAAGAACATCAGGTTGTGGTCATTGGTTCCGAGCTTCGCTAATAGCCAACATTGCTTCTGCGAAGCTGGCTAATATTTAAGCCACTTATGCAGTCAAAGCTATTCAAACTAAAGTTAAAAATGGTCAGAATGATTTAGATTGTAAATGCAGACTGTTGGAATGTGTCAGTGAGTTCTGACAGTTCTTTGCAGGTTTAAAGGCAGAACGATAAAACATATAATACTATTGTTTGTAGAAACACCACATAAATTTATTACTGCAGTAAATTTATTTACTTTATTCTGTAAATTTATCAAGTTAAGTATAACACGCGCTCAAAACTAATGCGTATAATATACCACTTGAGGTTATGACTCAATTTTTATTTTTCGAAACGTTTCTCAATCGGCAACAAACTTAAAAAGTATGTTTAGTGCTTTATCTGTAAAATAATGCTAAATTGAAAAGATTTTAGACTACGCCAAAGAGAAAATTATGTAGTGAAGTTCAGTAAGTTTTGCTTATATTGCTCGGCTTAAATATGGCGTCAATTTTAAAGCATCGTTGATAATTGTATTTTAATTGACAATTTTTAACTATGATTTTATGTTTCTCAACCGGCAGATGCATTTAAAAAGGTAGCTAACTGTATAAACTAAAGAATAAAGCAAAAACAAAGTGATTCTAAGAGAAGGAACGCAAAAGCAATGTTGGCTACTAGCGAAGCTCGGAACCAATGTCTGAAGTCTAAAATCTAAAGTCTAAAGTCTAAAGTCTGAAGTCTGAAGTCTGAAGTCTGAAGTCCGAAGTCTGAAGTCTGACTGTCAAACATTGGTTCCGAGCTTCGCTAGTAGCCAACAATGCTTTTGCGTTCCTCCTCTTAGGGAGCGGTCATTATTTATGGTGGAGGGTGGCACCGAAGAGAAATGTTTTTCATGGCACAAATTTTGCTGACCCAACCATTAAAAAGTAAAAAATTTGATTACCCAACCTCAAATATCAATTAAAAAATAAATACTCACCCCTGGCCAAAAACTTTACAAAAAGGTACCATTCAGTTGTCACACATGTCCCTTGCCACTTCTGTGACATGAGTTTGATAACGGATTGTGAATTTTTTTGCAGACTAAAGTTTCATGTTGTCTGCACATGTACTTTCTTTGGAGACACCATTTGTCTCCCAACAAATTGAAAAACAGTGATCAAGATAGTGACTCCGATTGATTCACATATTGTATTGACGTATGACTGTTGACATTGCTTTTTAGTCTCCAATATTTCAGTG